CCAGGCGGCCGCCTGCAGGGCCCTGCAAGCCGCCGGGCCCGCGCGACCAGGTGAGGGGGCGCCAGGTCCGGGAGGGCGCGGGCGGGCGGCGGCAGGGGAAGGCCCCCAAGTTGGAACTCTTTAGGCCGGCGCCTCTCGTCGTGCACCGAGGTAAACTGAGGCCCAGAGAGGGGAGGTGCATAGCACTAGGCCTCCCAGCTAGCGCGCAGCGGGACCTGGGCAAGGGGTCGAGTCTGTTCTGGGAGGATCTGGAGTGCATGGGAGATGCAGAGGCTTAGGGAAGCCCAGGGGACAAGCAGAAGGCAGGGGAGGCTGGTGGAGAGAAGAGTTGGGCTGGGCTGGGCAAAGATCTGGGAGCCCGGAGGAGGGGCAGGAAGGGAAGGACATGTGCAAGTCTTGGGATGCGCAGGTTTCGAGGTGGGAGGGGGACAGAACTCGGACTAGGAGGGTTGGCGGTGCCAGGAGCTTCTAGAACGCTGTGCAGCTAGGGATGCCACGGTGAAGGCTCAGTGTGGAAGTGCCGAGGGGAGGAAGAAGTCTAGGAATAGATACCAGGGATTTGGAGGTGTAGGGAAAGGGTGTGAGGAACTGAGGGCACAGAACTTTCTAATCCTTCTTGGCTGCCCACCTGGTTGTGCACCCATTGCTGTGCCTCCCTCCCTCCCCCTAGGTCTGCTGAGACCACCTTTTCCCTTCACACTCTCCTAAAGTGCGGGGAGGGGAGTTTTTCCAACCCCGATGGACTGCTGCCATCAGCAGAAGGGTCAGAATCTCCTCCCTCCTGGTACACAGGTTTTACAGGAGCTTTGCAGTGTCCCAGGATTAAAATATGAACATCGAGTATAGCTGGATCTGGTAAAACTGGGAGATGCAGGAGCGTTCTTTGCACTCCTGACCCCCTCCCCACCCCGACCCTCAGCACCAGCCGCCCTCCAACCCTTCCTGCTGAAGAGTTAATGAAGACAGAGGCTGTCTTCTGCCTCCCTGGGCATTGGTGTGTTAACCAGCAAAGGAGAGTTGCCGGACTTGCAGGGGGGCCTTTTCCAGCAAGGAGACCTGGTACCTCTGTTGTCACAAATGTCACAGACCCACCTGCCAGTCTGGCCTGGTTCAGGGCAGGCCATCCCTATCAAGCTGTAGAGCCTGCCCTAACCTCCCCTCCATGCCCACAACCCTTTCTGTGGAGTCTGTGAGGAAGCTGGCTAAATTTGAAACTCAACCACCAGCATCCTGAAAGATATAGGGAATGTCCTGAGGTGGATTGTCATTCTGGCTGTTGATGCCAGCCCCATCACTGATCTAGCCCCAAGGGGGGAAACTTTCTGCCCCCTAATGAGCAGGTGCCTAGAAAATTCTCTGAGCCCTTAGTGTCCTAGTCCTCTCCCATTACCAAGGAGCAACTTTTAATTCCCCAGAGCCAAGCTTGCTCTGGCCTCCTAAGCTTTTGTACACATTGTGGTTGCTTCAGAATGAAAAGGCTTTTCCTCCATCCTCCTCTTCACCTGACCAATCCTGTCTCATTTCAGAAGTGGACTTCCTCCTCCAGGAAGCCTTTTCTCCAGGAACCCACTTCCACTCCCTAAGCTCTTACCACATGGTTTTGTGACTTTCCCTCGCAAGTTGAATCATCATTGTATAGTCATGCATCGCTTAATGACAGGGACACGGTCTGAGAAATGCGTCACTGGGCAATTTTGTCATTGTGTGCACATCGTAGAGTGTACTTACACAAGCCTAGATGGTATAGCCTATTACACACATAGGCTGTATGCTACTAATCTTATGGGACTGCCGTCGTATATGCGGTCCGTTGTTGACCGACATGTCGTCATGTGGTACATGACTGTATTCCCATTTCCCTGCCTGGCATGCAGAATCCTTGCCTCCTTTTAAACCCTAACACTTAAGAAATTTTACCATCTTGCAAGGGAATCATTCTCTACTGCGTTAAACTTGTTTCTACTTTTATAAAAGCATACTGAACAACATGAAATCTTTCATTCATGCCTAAAGGTCATGAGCGTAATTATAGCTCATTGTCCACTGATTTCTTCCAGGCTTTTGAGGCGGGCAGCACCACGACCCTCACGCCAAATGGATTCATGTTGCTAAGGTTTTGCTGGCAGTTGCGGCTGGTTTTTCCAATTTCCCAGTCTCTTTGCTCACGGCCTCATGGCTAGTCTTATATTTTAGGTTGTCTGCTTCGTGGCGGTGTCCTTTTTTTATCCAGTTTATGCCCAATCCAGCTGCCTTTGGGTTGAAAAACTAAGAATCCGATCTTGTTAGAAGTGGGTGCAAATTACGAGTAAATAAGCCCCGAGTAACGAATTATGAACAAGGATATCCTATGTTTTGGCTGCCTGGAGTCTTTTTTTTTTTTAAACTTTGCTCTAGTAGACCTTATTCCAGATTTTGGGGGTCTTGGGCGATCTCCAGCTAACTGAGGTGGTACCATAATCAGGAAACCAGAATCAGTGTGAAATTGTTTTGTGTGTGATTATCAAAAAAGATTAAATCTGTTCCTATTAAGAAATAGTTTGAACTAAAAATCAGGGGGAAATTACTGCTCTCTGAGGATTTTCTTTGGTGCTATGTAATTGTAATTAATTTTATGTCCTTTTTGTTACTGTAGTTTTCCCAACATGGTACCTACATAGTAGGGTTTTTGTGAGGATGAAATAAGATAATATATATAAAGCAATCTTTTTTTTTCCGTTCTTTTTTTGAGTACAAAACCCCACCCCCTCTTGCTCGTCAGAATCTTTGTTTTTTTAATCAGACAGTTGAAAATAGGGCAGTTGACAGTTGAAGCTCTTGGTTTGCCAAACAGAAAATCTCTCAGTCGTGTCAAGCACTGTCTGACCCGCTGCCTCTGGGACTTTGTGTTCTTTCTAGCGGAAGGAGCCTGGGGGAGACCGGGCCTCCCGGCACTGCTGGCCTGCTTTTCCTGGGGTCCTCGGAGCCGGGGGAAGGACCCGGATGCCACCTCCCCCAGTGGCCCAACTCAGGGTGAGTGTGTTGTCTTCCTGGCCTCCTGGACCTTGTGCTTGGGATTATGGGAGGGGTCATGTGCGTGCAGGGACCTTAGGGATAGAGTAAACTAACATCCATGGAGCACTTGCCTTTTGTGGGGTGAGCAATGTGAGGTGCCCATGTCACCAGGCGGCTGGCACACAGGCTTGGTCAGCAGGGCTGTAGTCCCAGGAGTCTCTGATTAATGAAGGCGGTGTGGGCAGGGCTGTAAGGCAGGTGTCAGCTAGATGTGTGGTGGGACACATGGAGCCAAACACATTCCATCTCCCCCAGAGGATCCTGGGAGTATCACAGAGCAAATGACTTTTGAGCTGGGGGTTGGGGGATTTTCTGAGGCAGAAATGGGAAGATTAGGAGAGAGAACACCATGAACAAAGGTTTTCCCACATGGTGTCATGCTCAGAAAAGGGACCCCTGTCAAGAGTGTCCCAGTGAGGTCCCGAAGGAGGCTGGTAAGGGCTGAGACTGAAGGGGAGAGTTGGGACCAAATCAGGGCCCTGGACCTAAATCTCTCAGGAATACTTGTTATCAATTTCACCTCACTCTGGTGGGACTCTGACCCACACTCGGAGGAGCTTCAAGGAGGGGCCCACAAGTGGGCCTCATACCCACAATCCATCCCTTCCTCAGAGGGTTCTCTCCTGTTCAGTGTCGTGGATTTGAAATGAAACCAAAGCTGAGCATTCACCAGCACAAGCTTTATTCAATGGCCAAAGAATGGAGAAGTGGGAACTAAGTTCACAAATCAACTTCTCAGCTCCTGGGGTGATTAAGCAGCTATTATAGGGGTCTAGGTAATGAAGAGGCGGGATATTCATAGTTCTTGGGGGAAATGGGCAGGATTTTCTGGGGAGCAAAGGTGCCACCTCTTTTCTTTCCTTATTTGGTTATATCCTGCCGTTGCCCTGTCATGGCATCTATGGGTGTGTTCTATAATACGGTAATGTATTACAATAAGAGTGTAATGAGGGCCGGCCCTGTGGCTTGGTGGTTAAGTGCGCGCGCTGCGATGCTGGCGGCCCGGGTTCGGATCCCGGGTGCGCATCGAGGCACCACTTCTCCGTTCATCCTGAGGCCGAGTCCCACATACAGCAACTAGAAGGATGTGCAGCTACGACAAACAACTATCCACTGGAGCTTTGGGGGGGAAAAAAAAAAATAAATAAAATCTTTAAAAAAAAAAAAAAAAAAAAAAAGAGTGTAATGAGCTGCGGGGTCTATGTCAGGTCAAGTCAGACTGCCATGTTGCCTTCAACCAGTTTTGACTGGTTTTGTTCAGCCACTCAGCCATCTTCTCCTTCCTTTCTTTGTGGTTTCCTGCCAGCTAAAAGTAACATGTTAGGCTTGTTCTGAGCAGGGTTGTGGTTAATGTCTTATGGGGCCAGGGTAACGTAGTGAGCCACTGGCGACTTCTGAGCAGGGGTGTCGAGATTAGGGGCATATCTAGAGAGATGACAGGACTGCAGGAGCAGAGAGAGACCAGGGCTAGAGCCTGGCTAGGAGGGGACTGCATAGTCCCAGGAGGGACAATAGGCAGCCTGGACCCGATCAGGCAGTGTTGGAATGGAGAGGCAGGAACTCACCAGGGAGCCGTTTCCAGGGTAGAATCATCAAGCCGCCAAGTGGAGTCGAGGGAGAAGGAGAAGGAGAAGGAGAAGACTGCTCTGCGAGGTCCACAAGAGCACTCAGTAGGGATTGAGGCTGGATGGAGAGAGGAAGTACCCAGGGACGCAGGTTGTAACCAGCTGAACGTATGTGACCGACCCCATCCCCACCGAGGTGTACTGAATACTATAGTTTTGTTACAGAGACAGTGGGCAGTGTTTTAAAATAAACTTTTATCATGTCCCTTATTTTTTAAAAATCATTAGTTGATGTATCAGTCTTCTATTGCCTCATAATGTTACCACAAATTTAGCAAATTTAGCAGTTTGTTTTAGCTTAACACAACAGCCCTTTATTCTCTCACACTTTCCATGGGTCAGAAGTCTGGGTACAGCTTAGCTGGGCCTTCTGCTCAGGGTCTCACAAAGCTGCATCAAGGTGTCAGCCAGGCTATGTTCCTGTCTGGAGCCTGAGTCCTCCTTCAAGCTCACATGGTTCTTGGCAGAGTTCATTTCTTGGCTGCTGTAGGGCTGAGGTCCCTGCCTTCTTGCTGGCTGTCAGCTGGGGCTGCCCTCAGCACCAAGAGGCCCCGCAGTCCCATCTCTCACAGCCCTCTCACAACACGGCGCTGCTCCTTCAGTCAGCAGAGTATCGCCTGGCTCCTGTAACGTAACTTAGTCACGGGAGGGACCATCCATTGTCACCTTTGTCATATACAGTACCCTAATCAGGGGAGTGACCATCCCATCATACTCACAGATCCCACCCACACTCAAAGGAGGGATTATACAGGCTGAGTACACTAACGGGTGGGAATCTTGAGAGCCATCTTAGAATTCTGCCTATCACAGTTAAAAGCTCAAAAAATTAAAAAAGGAAAACAGATATTAAAAATCATTCATGTAATTTCATCAGAGGTAACTACAATCCGTATTTTGGGATAGACCATTCTGTCTGTCAGTCTGTCTATCTATTTATGTCTCCTTGTGCTATTAAATTTTAATAAATTCACATGTATAATACACACATCATCTGCAAAATGCATCAGATATTTAAAATATTTAATTGCAAAAATGTTAACTTCAACCTCTCCATCAACATGGTGGATGTATCTGGAAACTAAAGGAAAAAAAAATAATGCAAAGGAATCATACACAATTTTACATAAATCTTGGATAACTTCCCTCTCTATAGCATATAACAAGTTGTTTAATCTCATGTAGAAGTGAATGTGCTAAGATGCAAATTGTATTCATGGACTATACATATACATTTATAATATATATAATAAATATAGGATTATACATACATACATTTATGCATACTGTTTTGGAATCTGCTTTCTTCATCAATAATATATTGTGACTGTGCAATATTCCACCGCAATAATTATATGTCAGCAACATCTTTTATCTCTTTTTTTGAGGTAATTGTAGAATCACATGCAGTTGTAAGAAATCACACAAAGAGATCCTGTGTACACCTTGCCCAGTCTCCCCCAATGGTAGCATCTTGCAAAACTATAGGGTAATATCACACCTGGACATTGACATTGAAACAATGCACAGATCTTATTCAGATTTCCAATTTTACTTGTACTTGTGTGCGTGCATGTATTTAGTTCTATGGAATTTTATACATCATTTTTTTTTTTTTTAAAGATTTTATTTATTCATTTTTTTCCCCCCCAAAGCCCCAGTAGATAGTTGTATGTCATAGGTTCACATCCTTCTAGTTG